GTTAAGCTGGGTTCGGCTAAAGGGAAAGGAAACGCAGCAGCAGCTCTACTTCAACTTTCGACCAACAGTGGTCGGTTCTGCAACATGGTTATTCAAGAAGGAGCTGTTCCTTTTCTTGTTGCTCTATCACAATCTGGTACTCCAGACTAAAATATTTTTCATCTTCCTCTTTGATGCTTGTGATTAAAGTAGGGATTCTATCACCATGAATCTCTTGATTTTGAGTTTTTTGAAGAACTTGATCTTGTTCTAATGTTTTGGAGGATGTTATAACTTGTCAGGCACAAGCACTGCTCAGTTACTTCAGGAACCAACGGCATGGAAACGCCGGGCGTGGCTGATGGTGACAATGATGTTGCGTAGATTCTGGTTCATCGGTACCTATTTTGTGTTTCTCATTCTTACTTAAGTAGTGATTTTGTACAAAAGAGGTGTCGTCTGCAAATAATTTATATACCCAAGATTTTCTTGATTCGCTGCATTCTTAGATTTTCGGTTAAATTCCCAAGAATAAAACCTTCATATCAAATAGAAGTTTTTTCTTATTTGTAAGTCGTTAAGTAAACAATGTAGATGTGAATTTGAATTGAGTGAGTATTTTAACCATTGATGGACCGGATCATCTGTGAGAGTATTGTGTTTGTTTGTTCATTTGAAAAAAAAAAAGAAATGTTTCCTTTTTATCAGTTCAGTGGAAACTTCTTTGTAAACCTTTTGGAACAATGGAAAAAATCTGAGTACAGTGGGCAATCTATTCCAGTTAGTGGTCTGGCTTACGTCATCACAGCTCCAGCACGGTAATGCAAAGTTTTAATCCATCAAAATTGTTATATGCATCAACCGGTTTGATAAATGTAATTACTGTACAGTTGCAACTTCTCGAACATGGCAGCTCACCCCTTCCATACTCTGTTCTACATTGTCTTCATGCTCATTGCTTGTGCTCTTTTCTCAAAGACATGGATTGAGGTCTCTGGATCTTCTGCTAGGATGTAGCTAAGCAGCTTAAGGTAATAAAATCACAACCGTTTTCTCTATACAGAACCTGAGTTCATAAATGGTGTGTTTGGGTATTTGATATTCTGAACTCAAATAATTTGTTTAAATGATCCAATAATTTATAAGTTTTGTAAAATTTAAAATTAATAATTCAATTTTAAAGAAAAGAAAAAGTTCATAAAATACACAATTAACAATTAAATTAATCTTAAGAATCCATTAAAGACTATTTTTTTTTTTATTGAATCCATTAAAGACTGTAACCAATGGAGGTGGTTTAAGACTCCAAATTCTGATAATTCAAAAAATCAGTCCGTGACACAAAGGTCTAATTCTCACTTGCTTTTTGCTCAAAGTTTGTGTGAAAGAAAAAAAAAATTCTTTTTAGCCACGTTGCAGAACGCGTTACTGTAACAGCTTCAAATCATATTTTTAATAGGAATTCGGCCAAAAAAATCACGAACTTTGCACGAATTGTCAAATAAAACATGAATTCAAAGCTGGCCAAAAAAATACTGTATTTTCATTGACTTTTTAATTTTATTTGAGAACTTATCATTGACTAGCCATTTTAGTACACCGTCAATCTTACCGTGTAAACGCCGTTATTTTTACGTTAAATATCAATGTTAAGTGAAACGACGTCGTTTTGTGTGTTTTTAAAACGAAAAATATGTTTATCTCAGGTTTCGAACTCGAGAACTCAAAACCAAACATCATGCTCTTTCGCCACCAAGCCAACAACACTTCTGATGAATCTCAAACATATTTCCTTTTATTGAGTATCCAAAAAATCTTTAAAAACCTTAAAATTTTACAAAATTCAAAAAAATCAATAAAATTCTAAATATATTAAAATAAAAAATTAAATTACAAATAAAATTTATTTTTCGCTAAAATTAATTAAAAAAATCATAAAAATCTAAAAGATCCAAAAATACGAAAAACTAATGATTAAAAAGATGACAAAAAATTAATGATTAAAATATTGAAAAAATATTTTTTTATACAAATTAATGTATCTAAGATCATATGTGTATTTTATCTTTAATTCATTAATCATACGAAAAAGATAGTGTGATAAATATAATTTTATCTATTATCTTGCATGCATTCATTTATATAAGAGAAAATTATTTTAACCATTAATTTTAATTTTTTTCCTTTGATTTTTTTTTAGATTTTTTATTTTTAATTTGTTGGATGTTTTTTGTTTTTAATAAATTAATATATTTGAGATAAAACACAAAAATGATATTTATCACACTATATGTCTTAGTACAATTTTTGTTTTCTAAAAACAATAATTTTTGTTGCTAAACTATGATAACAAACGAACATACACCAAAAATTACAAATGTTTTTTTATTTAATTATTATCTAGTAATGTATATAAATCTTTATTTTTTGTTGTATGCTCATTCAATATCATATTTTAGCAAAACAATTTGTGATAATATCATTTGTTTATTTTATCTTAATTATCATTTCTATTTTATCTTAAATACATTATTCATACTAAAATTTATAGTGTGATAAATATCATTTTTTATTTTATCTTACATACATTAATTTATATAAAAATAGGTTTCAAATTAATCATTAAATTTAATTCATTTCATTTCTTTGAATTATTTTAGATTTTTTCAAATTTTTAATGTTTTGATTTTTTGATTTTTTTAAAAACAAAATATTTGCGATTTCAATTTTAATTTTACCTTTTCAGAATTTTCTTGAATTTTTAAGATTTTTTGGAAGTTTTAAAAAATAATTTAGATTTTCAAGATTTTTTTGATACTCAATAAAATAAAACATGTTAGAGATTTTCTTAAAAGTATATGTAGCACAGTGGCAAGAAACCTCAAATTTGGCCATGAGTTCTCAGGTTTGACCCACACAATTGACATGTTTTTATAATAAAAATAGGTAAAACGACGTCGTGTCATTTTACTTAACGGATCTTAGCAAACGTTGTTCAATCCTTCTGTCAAATTTACTAACGGCGTGTTTAATTGGCGAGCCAGCAATAACTTACTGATTAAAGTTTAAAAGTCAAATATCTCTATAATATTATTTGAGAAGTCAGTTTCTTACGTGTCGCGCTCACGTTAACTCTCGCGATGGTTGATTACATAGATACCCTTAATGAATTGTTAGATGTTAAGATTATTATTAATTTTTATTTAGTTTCCTTTTTACCTTTTTCCAAATAATATATATAATAAAAAAGAAATATTTCTAAAATTTTAAAACAAATTTAAAAACGAAAATATATGTATATAATATGAGTTATTAAAAAGGAAAGTTCACAAAATAGTAATACCCCCATTAATATATATTTTTGAATAACATAAAATATATTTTCAAAATAATGAAAATATATATATTCATGAACATTCAAAAATTTATCAGTTACATTTTATTTTCTATTATTTTTTAGAAATCAACATATAATTTGATAAATATTATGAAAATGCATGTAAATTTAAGCGATAAATCTTTATAATATTATTTGAGAATTAACTTTTTTATGTGTCGCGCTCACGTTAACCCTCACGCTGATTGATTACTATGATACCTCTAATGAATTAAAATATACATTTAAATATTATTATTTATTTTAAAAAAAATCCAAATAACAATATAAAATAAAAAAGAAACATTAATAAAGTTTAAAAAACTATTTAAAAAAGAAAATATAAGTATATATAAATATGGTTTCATAAAAAAGGAAAGCTCACAAAATAGCAATATTAAATTTAAATATATTTAAATAACATAAAATATACTTTTGAAGTAATAAAATACTTTATATCTATATCTTCTTAGATGAAAAACAATATTTGTATATAATGTGATTCCATAAAAAAAACTTACACAACTAATCTTGATAATAGAAAAATAAATAAATTGAAACAATAAATATATATAATTTCAAAGTAATTATTTTTTGTATATATCTATCTATTTTATTAGATGATTACATAGAATAATTAAGTAACATAAACTGATATATGTTTAATTGAAAACTTTTGTTATAATTAGTATTCTTGAAATATTTTTTTAATTTTTAGTATATATATTTGACTATAATATCTTACAATTACAGCAAAAAATATAAATTCTATTTTACTTATATAATATAATTCTCAAAAACAATAAAAATTTTACTGCATATTTTAAGAGATATTAAAAAAAACTAAAAAAATGTAACAATAAATATTTTTTGATAAAATAACTAAAATTATTTTAAAATATCATCACTATATAATTTAACGAAGTAGATATATTGTATTTTAATAGTTAAAGTTATATGTTTTCTTAATAACTCTTTTAATTTTTAATTTTATGTTCTTATGTTTGTGGAACTTAATGTAACCATAATCAAAATACTTAAGCAAATCAGAATCCTTATTTTAAAAATATTTAAAATCATTTCAGTTTACCATCCAATCAATCTAAATATTGTAAATATTGATATGTGTTCATAAGCTTAGAATCACACAGTTTAGTTTTTGTTTTTTTTTCTTTCTAAGCACAAAAATATTAAGTTATACATAATTTAACTAGATATATTTATATTTCAAAGATAACAACCAGCATAAATGTAAGTAAGACAATTAATCAAAAATCTAATATATTTAGATTAAAAAAATTATAGTTGAATTTAGAGAAATAGATAGAAGCTGATATATCTATATGATAACTAAATCAACCGAAAAACAATAAAATTGACAAAATATAATATATCTAAAATTATATATATAATTAAATTAATATAGTATTCTTAATAGAAACTATACCTACAAATTATAAATTAATTTAAAATTTAAAGTAACTATCAATCAATTATTATAATATATTTTTTTTATAAATATTTATGTTCGTGCATGAGCACGGAAAAATCACCTAGTTTTTTAGTATTTTTTTGGCCAGCCAATATATTCGTGTTTGTTTTGGTAATTCATGTAAAGTTTGAGCTTTTTTCGGCCGAATTCTCATTTTTTAATTAATATGTTCGAGCATTTAAGAAACATATGGAAAGTTTGAAACGTGAAAGCATTTGAGAACAAAAGCAAAAGATGAAAAAAAACAAAATCAAGAAGCAGAGTTGTCAACAGTAGAACCGACATGGTGGATTACGAATCCATAGATTTTGCGTTTCAGCCGTTCAATCTTGTCCGTTAAATGCATTGTTGTTATCTTGTTTTCTTGGTCCGACACGACACGGTCCAACCACTCATTGACTTGTTTCAGCTGAGACAGAACAGCAGCTATGGAATTACCGTCTAAAGGCCGCGCATTTTTGTTGTCTAACGACTCTTCCAAGAACCCAATAAACCACATTTGCATTTCGGATTGTACGTTCACTGCAAATTTAGTGGTCTCCTTCAAGCCATCTTTGTCTGTCCACATCCCAAAAATGTTCTCTGAAACCACCACAGTTACAAGTTTTTAAAATAAATATGGCTAATGAAGATGAAATATTTGTTTCCGTTGAAGAGCAAACCTGTCTTTGTAGAGGGCCCGGGAGAGATGCGAGTAGGCATTGGTTTCTTCACTGAAGATGGAGATTCTAGGTTGTTCTGGCGTTTGACTAGTGAGACCACGTCGAGATTAGTTGCTAATGCAGCTTCAACCCAAAGAGAGATTGGGCTTGGTTCATCAGACGACGACCGGAAACTATCTTCAGAAACAATCTGACTGTATTTCGTAACGTCTCCATAGATTGTCAAAAACTGGTTAATGATTTGCAATGGATTCTCCAGTTTCGAGGCTGAAGAAAGCTCAGCGAATTTACTGAAATATCCACCATAAAATGGTGTCAAAGACAAAATGAAAGTTGATAGCCAGAAGTATCTAAATTTGTTTTTACCTTAAACATCTAATGCTGCACTCATTGGCATTAGCCTCCTCCAATGCACGAGCCGCAGCTTTAGCAGCAAAGTTTCTTCTTCGCACAGCCTCCTGTTAGATAAATATACAATCGCATGAGGATACAGAAACTTTAAGTGTCTTTAGTCTCAGCGTATCTAAAACAAGTTCTTGTCTGGTTCACCTTTGCATGTCTAGCGAGAACCCCTGAGATGTTATCCAATGGAACACTACCATCTGTCCATTTACTATCATGATAAGTGATCCCAAGTCCTTCAAAAGCTGAGACTTCTTTTTCTTCGTCCACTAAACTACTCACAGATGAACAAGATCTGGCTTTGTCTTCACATGCTGAAAAATCACTCTTTCGCCTATTAGCATCACTAAGACGTCTCGTCATAGCAGCCTGAAACAATTGTACATTCTCAATTTCAGTTCATTACAAAAACACACAAGTATCAAACTTTATTGGCTTGTTACCTGAGTACGCAAAATCCCTTGAAGATCAGTCTTCTTCTTATCCTTGTGCTCAGATTGAACATTTCCATCAGGTTCATCCCAATTCTTTCGGTTACCATTCTTAGCTGAAGATCTGACAAGAGCCTCGGAGACTTTGGAGATTCCTGCAGCAAGGGCGGCCATCTTCTTCTTCTCCGAAGAATCTCCAACCATGGGAGAGGACATTTTCAAACCATTTGAAAGCCGTCTTCCTGGTGAAATCGACAGTCTCCTTCCACTAGGAGATGGATTCACTTTCCTTCCATTAGGTGACGGTTGTCTGTATCTTGACGGTACAACAATGGCTGCCTCTCGAGCAACCTTTCTATTCTCCTCGCGCGCAGCCGCCAGGCTCGGCACTACGCATTTGGACGGAACCGGAGACGCAGACCTCCTCCCTTTCGCGGGTGATGGATCTCTTTCTACCCCGGAGCTGTGCTTCTTCCCAGACTGCTGCTTAGTCGATGCTGGTGACGAGAATCTCTGTGGCGTCCTCTTACTTTTCTTTTCGTTTTGGTTAACCGGAGCAAGCGCCTGCCTCCCTTTTGGAGCCACGACATCATCATAATTATCACCAGGTCGTTTATTGTTTAGGTAAACGGCGATTGGGTCAAGCGTGTACTCAGAATCCGAAATAGGCTGGATAACGAAATCTCGTTTAGATCCCGGAGCTACGCGAGCGATCAGCGGCTCAGGAGTGCCGACGAAGGCATGACGGCCAGCGACGGGGCGGATTCCGGCGGCGCGTGGGACTGGGATGGAGAATTCGAGGCGTTCGAGGTAGATAAACTGTCCGAGCTGGAGACGATTTGTAAGGATGAGATCTGTGTTGCGCTCGGAGAGGCAGACGTAGGTGGAGTTGAGAGAGTCGGAGATCTGGACGTAGAAGCCTTGGTTAGGCCCTAGATCGGAGCCGGCAAGGGCAGGCACTATTCCCGTGACTTGGACGATGGCGGATCTGTGGTCTCCGGTAGGGCGGGTGTTGGAATTCATGCATTGAAGGAGCTTCAAAAGGATGCCTGGTGCGAGAGAAGCCATTTCTGTTTTGGGGTTGGAGGTATTCGGATGTTTGAGTTTGAAGAGAGCGTCGTTGGAATGGAGGAGAAGAAGAAGAGTTACTGAAGTTTTTGGCGTTACCAGATTCAAAATTTGAAATCATGAACTTACTCAAATTTGCCAAAAAATATACCAACTCTTCATTAATCTAAAAAAATATCAAACTTACCTTGACTAAGCCAATTTAGGTATGACTTTAATCAATATTAATCGGTGTTAAACTGCCGTTTAATGTTAACGACTACAGAAACACAGTCGTTTTAAAATTATAATTTTTTCAGACCTCTCCTCAAATTGATTCCATCTCTTTTTTTTCAAACGTGAAAGAATTCGAATAAGTTTGAAATCCTCTTTTCCCAAGAAACCACAAGCCATAGAAAAATCAAAACAAGGCACCAAACGCCAGAAGACAACACGAATTGTTTGTACTCCTCCATGTTCCAGGTGTAAGTAATCAAAGGAGTGTTGGTACTGAGACATTGTGTCATCGAACAAGACGCAACAATGAACAAAACGTCATCAAAGAAATCCACTTTGAAATTTGGAATGAAGATCCCACGAAGATACATGCTTTCAAAATACTGAATCCGTTTGACATGCACTCCCATAAATCCTTCCTGTGTTCATGATGATGAGCTTGGAGCCAAATAGACAAGAGCTTCTCTAGAATAGTTGTACATAAGACATTGTATATATGACAGAAACAATGTTGTACTTAAAACCTGAACCGCTTTCTTCTACAAGATGTGCCAACGGACTTGAAGATGAAATCTTGTTTTGGATTCCACTGTTTCGAATGCTCCTGATGAGAATCTCTGAAAAGATCAGAAACGCATTAGCAGATACTTGATTTGTGTCAAGCTTTTATTAAGACAACCCAAATATCTGAACATGCAGTTCTCCATTGTACATTGGCTCTTCACTATAGATATTGATGAAAGCCATCCCAGAAACAGAACCATATTAGGACACCACCAGCTCAAGAACAACATTAAGACAAGTATAATATGAGACTGTCATTGATGTTTGTGCTGTGAAATCAAAACAGACTGGTTCCTGCAATTGTTGCTTCAGATAAAGGGTCTCCACGTGATAAGCTCATCGGAATTTAACCTCTTCTAACTCTTGTATTAATCTTTTCTATCTTTGTATTATTGTGTTGGATTTATTATCACTTGTAAAACGACTGCGATTGGGTTTAGGGTTCTTAGATTTTCGATTTGGGAATTTTCTTAGAAAATCTAATTTTTAAACGACTGTGATTCTATTGTCGTTAACATTAAACGGCCGCTTAATACTAATTAATGTTGACTAAACTCATACCTAAATTGGCTTAGTCAATGTGAGTTTGTTATTTTTATAGATTAATGAAGGGTTGGTATATTTTTTGGCAAATTTGAGTAAGTTCAGTATTTAAATGCCCATTTTCTCTTTCTTTAATTTTATTTTTATTTTTTAATTGTTATTTCTGCATAACGGTTACTTGTTAGCAGATAAATGTTTTTTTTTTTTTTGAAAATTGGCTTCAGATAAATGTTTGTGTGATTAAATTATCCTGATTTGTTGTAATTTGTAAATCATGCCATGTTAAGTCTGGAAATGCACCATGATTAGAGTGACAACTCAAAAACTTAAATATATTACATTGATGGGGGTAAAAATTTTTTTTTTGAAATTATAAACTGTAAACCAACTAATTTTATAAAATAATACTTCGTTCACCCTTATAAAAAATCATATAATTCACCACACTTCTTATTACCAATCCAAATGTTATCTAGATTAATAAACAAAAAATATTAGAACTAAAAAAATAGCTGAAAAAAAAATGTGAATGTTAATATGTTAACACAGTCAGTTAAATCCAAATCCAAAACTCTAGATCCTAAAACCAAATCTTAACACTAAACACAAATTTTAAACCCTAAAATTAAACCGTAAAGGAATGATATCAGGCTCGTCTCATACTTAGTGTGGACACAGTCAAAATTTATTTTTACAGCAAAAAATTAAAAGGATTTGTAAAAAAAAGGCCCTGAATTTTTTTTAAAAAGACCCTAAACATTAGCTAAAAATTTGTAAGAAAATTATGGTCCTAGTGCAAATGCTCCTCTGGAACATGCCAAGAATACGTCGACGTAACTGTAAACACTAAATCTTAAACCGTAAAAACTAAACCAAAAACCCTAAGCCTAAACCCTAAGGATGGCGTTAACGTCAACATCATTCCATTAGAGTTTAAGGTCTAAGGTTTGGGTTTAGGTTGTAGGTTTATGGTCTAGATTAGGATTTATGATAGTGTTAACGTTGTTAACATCGGCGTCGTTCCTTTTTCCAATTATTATTATTTTTTTTAACTTTTAATTTAATATATTTTATTTACTAATCTACATGAGTCTTTTTTTAATTGGCACTTTTTATTTAATATTATATTTTTTAAGTTACTAATATACATGACACTTTAATTTGATAAGAGGTGAGGTAAATTATAAAGTTCACCACAAGGAGTGAACACAAGTATTGTTCTTAAAAATATTAAATTTATTTTAAAATAACTAAAAACAAGAATAATACCAATTTTAATGATGCTGACGCCGCTAACTCAACAATAAACTCTAAATTTTAAATTCTAAACTCTAAATCTTAAACCTTAAATCTTAAACCCTGAACCCAAATCCTAGACCCAAATCCTAGACCCTAAACCCAAATTATATAGCCTAAACCCAAACCGTAAACCTTAAATCCAAACCATATGCCATTAACCAAATCCTAAACTTAAAACCTAAACCCTAAACCCTAAACCCAAACCCTAAACCTAGACGCTATTGGATTTGGGGCTAGGGTATATAGTTCGAATTTATGGTTTATGGTTTGGGTTTAGGGTCTAGATTTTGGGTGTAGGGTATGTATTTGGTTTAAGGTATACAATATGGGTTTAGGGTTTAGTCTTTGGGTTTAAGTTTTATAGTTTGAGTTTAGGGTTTAAAGTTTAGGGTTTAGAATTTGAGATGTAGTGTTTACAGTTTAGCTACCGCCGTCAACATCGTTAAATAGTATTATTCTTATTTTTAGTTAATTTAAATAAATTTAATATTTTTAATCAGTTATCTATGTGGCACGTTAATTGGTTCTAGAAGGAGAGGTGAATTTAAAGGTTCACTCTAGGGGGTGAACCTAAGTTTTATTCTATTTTTAATTAGTTATCTATGTGTCACTTTGATTGGTTCTAGAAGGAGAGGTGAATTTAAAGGTTCATCCTACGGAGTGAACCTAAGTTTTTTTCAAAAAAGTAAAAACTAATCAAAAATAGTATTTTTTACAAAACAAAATAAACATCAAAATTGTTAACACCGTCTGACTCAACAGATGCTTCATAGGTGTCCTCACTATGTTATGATTCAGCTCAAAAGATACAATCCCTAAACCTTAAACCCTAAACTCTATGGGATTAACCATAAACTCTTAAGCCATAGGGTTCACCTTTAGGGTTTAGGGTTCATCCTCTAGGGTTCAGGGTTTAAGCTTATGTGTGTTCAGTCTTAATCATAACCATGGTTTAAGGTTTGACGTTTTTTCTTTTCCATTTTTGTTTTATTTTTGATAATATTATTTCTGATTATGTTTTACTTTTTAAAAATAAAATCTAAATATGAGTTTGAAAATTATTATTGGTTGGTGAACATGTAGGTTTACTCTGGAGGTGCACACACGAATAACTCTTTTGTAAATATAAACATTGTTTCCGTCCTTTGGGAGAATTTACAAACTCCATTTTAAGAGTTTTTCTTGTTTTCGTCCTTTGGGAGAATTTACAAGGTCACCATCCAATAATAATTTGTCAACTTATATTTAATTTTTGAAAAAGGGTAAAAAATAAGAAATAATATTATATACTGAAAAAACAGAAAAAAAGAAAACAAAAAAACTTCAAAGTTGTTAACATTATCCGACTCAGCAACTGTTTTAAAGATGTCCTCACAAAGTCATGGTTATGATTCGACTTGAAAGACACAATTCTAAATCCTAGGGGGTGAATCTAAATCCTAAACCTCAGGGAGTGAATGATAAGGGTTTTTAAGCCTTAGAGCAAATCAATGTAGTAAGGTAAGTAGAGTGTCAATCCAATCCTGAGAGCTATTGAACAAAGAGAATGCAAGACATTGCTTAATCTAAATGCAATCAATGAGGGTTTGTTTTATAAGTAACTAGTAACAAGCAATATGTAAACAAGAATAACTAAGTTTTGGTTTTAATGAGATAAAAGAGCATATGGATAAGGGTATTGACTTTGGGTGATCAAGTTACTATCTAGGGTGAGGTTTCAAGCAATCATTCATATCCTATAGGTCTAGACACAATTCTAAGCTAGTTCTTGGTCAAGGTAAAAGCTCATTTGCTATCAGTCTTTAAACACAAATGGTCATTAGTCTAAATCAATCAAGCAATCTTTGAGAACAAGTCTACTAACCATCTAAGCCTTCCTAACATGAAGTATCCTTGGTTAAGAAAGCAAAAAGCATTATTACTTTGGTTCAGGCATTTCATCATACACCTTGTGGCCAAGAAATGCCTAATGATCTAGTTTAGAAGGATTAGGTCTAAACTAGCATTAGGAATAAGTAATAAGCATAGGACAAGAAGGAGCTAACACTAATCACCCTAGATCATCAGTTAATCACCCTAATCACCATAACCCATAAGCTCAAAGAGAATCTACTAACTAATCTTCATGTTTAATCTTAAATCCATGATGGATAGAAGACTAATCATGATTAGAAGAAAAGATAGACTCAAATTATTCAAGAAACAAAGCTTATATTAATCAAGGATTCAACTTTTCAATGTTTTTTTGAGAGGAAAAAAGATAAGATCCCCAAAATAAGGTTTAAGGGTATTTATAGCAAACTAAAATCGAATTGGGCCAACCCAACAAACCTGAGATGGCCCAAACAAAAGAGATAAAAGTTCTGGTCAAACTCGAATTCTTGACTTTTTTTACGCTCACAGTGGCCCATGGAGGCCGCTGCATCATGCCGCTGCAGGCACCCAGCGGCTTTTCGCTCTCCGTCAGACCGCTCCCACTAGCCGCTGCCACACTTTGGTGTCACTATGCCACTGCATTATGCCGATATCAAACAGGGACTTGGC